ACTACAAACGCAGCATATACTACTCATTTAAGCCATTTGCTATTTTTTTATTTCTGACAAAAAAATCAAATACTTTTGCAACTGACCGATTGGCACGGACGAGCACAACTATCCTGATGGTCAAGACAATGGGAAAAAATACTTGTTCTTTTCTTCAAGTTTGTAAACTACTGGTCAACATAAGTTGTAAACGAGTAGGGAAAAAGAGTTTTTGTAAAAAGTTTCCTGATTAAATGTAGCTACAATTTGGCCTGGTAACATGTACAATTGGTTTTTATTAAGAATGTAGCTTTTATTGCTTTCAGTTGAAGCAAGACCTCTACAAAATCGCATTTTATAGTCGGATTGTCAATTATGCAAAAATGTATTCGTCATTACAATTAAAGCTATTTAAGTTCAGTATAATTACTGGCCTTTGTCGCAAGATGATTTCGACACATACTCATACCGAAACTATTCTTTATTGATGATTTTTATGCTCCTTTATTAGTCACCCATGAGCCAGATTCGATAGGCTCCATGATCTACTCAACTCGTCTTCCATCGCTCGCCAGCATGCCAGGTTCTCCGCAATATTTCTCCCTTCAGTCACTTTTCATAGGCACTCCTCTTTTGCACGACTCAGCCCTCGAGAGCTGAGTATGGCGTATCTACAAGCGAAAAACAGTATCTTCTTCGAATCCGATGTCCACTGAAATGATGTTGTGAAGTCTCATGCTGACAAGAAGTTATGAAATAGACGATCTGAAGAGGACTGTTTTTCGTGTTTGTGCTTATGTATTTACGTGTGTGTGTGTGCTAGCAAAGGGGAATCCGGCCATTTAATGAGGCTGGGGCTTGCTTGGCTACCATCGGAAGAAATGACATAAGCGATTTGAAGAAAATCATCTTTCCCATACTAATCCGGCTTGCTGAGAGATAGTTGTTACTTCGTGAATACGAGCCAAAATTAAGGAAATTGTCCATATTCCTATTGCTGTATTATCTTTAGTCACATCAGGGCTGGCTGCCATATGAATCGTCTGTCGTCAGTCTATTTTCTCCCTTTTTTCCGCAACCTCATAATCTCGATCTCGTGAGATTGGCAGAGCTTCAAAACTGATAATATTCCTCCATCTTCGGCTCACTTTTGGCGAGTTGTGTGACTGCTGTGTGTGTGTATGTTCCTATTCGGGTGACTGGCAACAGCCGGACCGGAGGCATACTCATGTCTGTGCCGGAGTGTATGCTTGCGAATGCGTCAGTGTGTGAAAATAGTGTGCGGCTGTCATCATTCACACTTGTGACTATGTGCAGACCGCAATGGGAACATACAACTTGGTGGGAGCAAGTGTGGCTGCAAACGCCTTGTCAGACACATACACACACACACACATACACACACACACACATACACACACACACACACATATATTTATATATAAAGAGCGAACTCGAGCGGATATAAAGTTTGCAGCCTCCTTCGTCGGGAGCACGTGCATGCAGTGTTTTTGCGTAAATCAGCGAGTTGCAGAGCCGGCGTCGAGTCAGACTCGAGCGTGTGCAACAGTTGGGCCTCTTGGCGGGTCTCGTAATGCAGAACTCGACAGCCACGACGGAGAAGTGTCGTGAGGAGGGATGCTACAGGTTCTGGCGTTTGTGACCAGTTTCCGAGGGCTTCCACAGACTCGATGGGCCCACCTGCTCAGCGAGTTGCGGGTGAAAAGATGAATGGATGGGTGTTCAGTTTGTATGAAATAAAATTGCTTTAAATAGTGGCTATAGAAGTGAAGATTGTGTGTTTTCTGTCTTCTCTCGTCGTGTGGACTGGATCCGTCGGCTTTTTCGTCGAGGAACCTGCACATTGTCAGGACAGAGGAGACCGGATGACTTGGAAAGACGCGATCCGACCAATCCCATGATCTGCTGTGAAGTTGACGCCCAAGAATAAATTAGTTAGTCCAGATCTAATGCTGCCCTCGAACTACTACTCAATTCGAATAAAAGTAGCATTGTCGATTGTAATGGCAAATACATGTTCACATCCGTGACACTCACAGTGTACGCATGTGATGTGGACGATGATGTTCACGTCGTAACAATGTGATGACGTAGTAGCGTGCACCAGGTGGGTTCGAGTCCCGCTGGGGCTGTTGATGGAACCGGTTCAGGTGAGAGGGAAACTGCAGTCGAGGCCAGTTGAAATGTGAATATTATCTCGTGACTTTTGGAAGCAAAGCTTCATCTGAATGCGATAAAATTGACTTTAAGCTCTTCTAAGAGTAGTCATTCCGTACAATTCATATCAAAAGACAGACCACTTCTTTTGAGGGAGTGGTATGTGTCAAGAGGGGCATAGCTGCCGGTTTTCGGTACACCGACAATTTCATTATGTTGTGATAAAAGTGTCAACTTGCTCTTTTTCTTGATTTCCCGACAATTCTTCATTTGCCCCACCGTCCAGACGCAATCACTATGATCAAGGCAACTCACCAAGCCCCTCTTCAGCTCGCATGTGCTCTTCTTGTCTGTCTCAGTTTCATCTCTCACCTGACGACGGCTCGAACTCTCGAATGCGGGGAGTACACTATGCAATGCCTGTAAGTCACTCAGTCACGAATGCCTACTTTTGTTGTCAACATCACAACTTTACTTCAGAGTCTGGCTCGTCTTTGTGGTATCAATGTCGAGATCTTGGCCGGTGGAACGACAACAGTTCCTTTCTTGAAGCATCAGCAGGACTGCTCTGCAGACAGAGCAATAAGATCCATGCTCGTTTATCTCAGTTTAAAATGAAACGCGTCCTTCAATCGCTTATGTCTCAATATTGAATTTAAGGTTTTTATATTTTATTTTACAGATTATTCTACCAAAATAACTAACAGACCGATCTATTTCTATGTGGATTTCATAGTTACATTGGTATTTTCTCTAAATTAGTGAGCATAGTTAATTTGATGTTAATTTTATGATGTAAAATGAAAAAAAATTAGAATAAATTAAAGATAAGGAGAAATATTTGTTTTTGGTTCTAGGTGTTAGGTCGAAATTAACCTTCACGAGTAAAGGTGATGTTATATGATTTTACTTAATAAGCTTTGAGAATAATAGTTAATATGCAAGCAAATTATAACACGGAAGTAAACTTTATTAGTATAAATTTAAAATAGTATTTAATGCTTAACACTATTTAACAAATATAAATGATTAATGCAAAACTCGAAAAGAGGCAAGGCAAGGGTAGATAAATTTAGCGAAATCAAAGCTATAGCATAGGTACCTAAATTAAATAGTGAAAAAAAAAGAATTAAAGTGCAGTGAATGATGAAGTTTTTTCAATTTTATCCCCCAATTCTGGTGGCTACGCAAGACCGCCCCCATTTTGGTAATAAGCACTGCTTGTCTCGGTTCAGAATTGACTTTAAACACGAACTCTTCATGCATCCGATGCTGCTTCTTCTCAGAGGCCCCTCATCCCTCCGTCACGAGCAAAAGCATTTTGAAAAAGTGCTAACTGTTGCTAACGATGGTCACCTTATTTATGAATAAGATTTCTTCTATCCACAAATTCTCAGAGTTCTAAGTCAAAGTTTCATTGAATATGTATTTAATTGTAAAATGGCCCATTATTAGTAAGCTTTCAAAAGTAACATTCCTTGTAAAAAGGTTAAGATTTATATATTTGATGTGTATCGGTTAAGGTGATAAAGAAACTTTTAATTGAATTGTCCCACAATGCTGCGAGTAGACGTGACGTTTCCATTGAACGTCACATGGTCTTGCTTTCGCAAGCGTTATTCTCATTCAGGCTGAAGTGGACTGCAGTTTCGACATCGCCTCGGCCTTATCAACTTCACCATCGGGACTCGAACCATGCAAGTGCAGCGCATAATCTCGCCACGTGGATCGTATATATCGCATTTTATGGTGGGAGTCTCGATGAAATAAAGTTTCATTTGCAATAACATTCGACTAAATTACCTATTTTGTTAGTTTTTATAACCTGTAGAATATATTTATGAGATTTATAAACCGATTGCTATAGCAAATACAACTTTGCTTAATCGAAAATTCCACCAAAGAATGTGATATGGAAAACCGCATAACCTTCCCTGAACTTCACATCTCCCACGTAGCCCAAGGATACTCGTGTCACTTTAGCGAGATTAATCGGTACACTTTTGATGGTTCGAATCCCGCTGGTGATGTTGATGAGAATAACATTTTTGGAGCAAGTCTTAGGGAAATTCTATTGAAACATATGGTCTATTCAACAGAGTCTGGGAAAATTCAACTATCAGTTGCTTTATCACCTACAAGGAAATAGGATGAATACACCTCGTATAAATGCTCTACTGATAGTCTCTAAATACTACTTATAAATGAAAAAACGGAATAAGTTTTGCCGGTATCAGACGCCTTCCGAACATTGCATTTTCTTTCCACTTCAAAGCCAAGGTCTGGAAAAACGCAAAAAAAGGTTAAGGTGTTCGATGTATGGACTATTTTTGGCGGAAAAAACCATAAGTTACTGGTTTCCTGGTGGTGT